GGAGGAGGCCAGGGAAAGAGGGGGGGAAGCCAACAAACTCAGGGACCAGGGAACAAGAAGAGATCTGAACCTGATGGGGAAGAGGGCGTAGTGGGGCTGGATTCAGTGCAATGTAGCTGAGAGGAAGTACAGAGAGCCAAATGAAGGTCAGAGACTGGGACAGGAGGAAAGTAAAAGTAAATAAGAGGAACGAATTAGGTGGCAAAAGACACTTATAGAAGTATAAACAGGCATGTACATATGTAAAAATATTAATATATAACAATAGGGATATAGGTCTATGTACATATATTTATAGGTTAAGCAATAAGGTAGCAGACAGACACTGAGCCTCTACTCAAGTACTCCCTCAATGCAAGAACACTTTGTTTTAATAACCTGGCATTCTGTGATGCTCAGCTTCACGACACGATTGCTGAAGACAAAATAGGTGCAAAAGCTAATGAGGTGAAGGGTGCCCGGCTAGTACAAGATATATCTGGGGTCTTAAAGGCTTGAAGTTAAACAAGCGGCTATCTAGCAGGGAAGAAACAAAGCCCACATAGAAGCAGCACACCAACCCGTGTGATCATGAGGTGCTGATGGTATCAGGCATCAGAAGATCCAAAGCAAACAACCATTTTGATGCGAACAAGGTGGTGGTGGTGGTGGTGGTGGTGGTGGTGGTGGTGGTGGAGGTGGTGGTGGAGGTGGTGGTGGCGGCGGTGGCGGAGTGGAGACCCAAAGCCCATCTGTAGATAATTGGACATCCCCTCATAGAAGGGTCACAAGGAAGGGATGAGCCAGGCAAGTGCAGTGTAGTACTGCGACGAAAAACCCACAATAGTCCTGTAGTTCTTTAATGCTTCCTCCCACCGACTATTATGAGCCCAATTTTTTTTAAATCATTTTATTAGTAGCTGTTAGAACTCTTATCACAATCCACACATCCATCCATTGTGCATGACCCCAATTCTATCTTACAAATCTGGCTAGACCAGAACATGTACACTGATAAGAGCTCTCAACACACGGAATCCAGGACAGATAAACCCCTCAGGACCAATAATGAGAGTGGCGATACCAGGAGGGTGAGGGGAGGTGGAAGAAGGGGGAAAAAGGGGAACTGATCGCAGTGACTGACATATACCCCCTGCCCTCCTGGGGGATAAGCAACAGAAACATGGATGAAAGGAGACAGCAGATGAGGTAAAATATGAAAATTTTAAAAATTTATAAATTATCAAGGGTTCCTAAAGGTGTTAGGGTGGGGGGATGGGAGGGGAAAAAAGAGCTGCTGATACCAAAGGCTCAAGTAGAAAGAAAATGTTTTGGAAATGATGATGGCAACATACGTACAAATGTGCTTCATATAATCGATGTATGGATTGTTTTAAGAGCTGTATGAGCCTCCAATAAAATTATTTTTAAAATAATAATAATAATTTATCATTTATGATAAAATAAAAATAAATAATAATTTACCTAAACTGTTTTCTCTATACAATTAAAGCTAGATTTAAATCATCTAAAATGCTCTTCCATCTCCAAAATTCTTCTCTATCCTAAGTTGGCTACCCATCACTTTGCCTAAAAGTCAAGTCCAAGAATTTTTAACATCAGGAACATCTGTGGAATAGCCTGTTCCAAGGTGTCCATTTCCATTTCTTCTCTCTTCTATTTGGACCACCTGTGCTCTCCAGTATGGCCTGAGTGAGGAGACTCCTGAGTCATCGGTTTGAAATATCCACCCATAGTTCAACCTACATCCATTAAATCCCCTCAGTAACTTATAAATGTTGTGTTTTTCATCAAATCCCCACCCATCAACTTCATTCATTGGTCACCAAATTTTAAAGAAAATTTCTCTCAAGGTCACCATTCTCCAAGATCGTTTCTCCTTATTCTTCATCTCTCTAATGGCTTCCAAAAGATAGCGGCATCCCAACATTTATTACTGCTTAATTTTCACAAGTTTGCTTTTCTTCTTCATTCCCTGTGCTCCAAAATTGCTTCTGGGTTTCTGCCTTGGAATGTTTGTTTGTTTGTTCAGTTGCCGTTTTTTGTTCTACAGCCCTACTGCCACCTTCAGTGAAGGCTCCCTGGGAAAGAGACCTCCAGTGTGCCAACACAAAACAGTTCCTTGTGCAGACAAGACAGGCGTACGGAGGAGGGGGGAAAGCACAGGGCGTAGGCTGCTCTCTCTCGGAATGAATGGAGAGCTACGGGCTTGGTGCCACTATATTCCCGCTTTAAAGCCCTACTTTTTCCCAGAAAGAAATGCAGAAGTGTGTATCCAGAAAGGAAAAAAAACCTCTAAAGTAACTGGGGAGCCAGAGCAGCTGGGGGTTGTTAACTTTAATCAAAGTCCAGCCAGGATTATTTTTTTAAGCAGAGGAAGTAGATTTATTCTCTTGCATATTCTCTGTCTTAAAGCAAAGGAAGCAAATTCATTCTCTTTCATATTCTCACTCTCTCTCTCTCTCCTCCAATTCCTCTGGCCAAGGCACGGAAACAAATTGCACATATACACACAAAATTCCATTCCCTTGAATTGTCTTTGAAACTCTGCAATTTTCCTGGACTGTTCTAGATGGTTGCAGACCCTGGAGGCATGGCTAAAGCAGAGAACAGCACCCTGAGCAGCAGCAGCCCCAAAAGGCGAGGGGCAGGTATGAGCTTCCTGCGGCTGCTGTAACAAATCACAGCCCACACTTAAAACAACATGAATTTCTTCTCGTACACTCTGGAGGCCACAAGTCTCAAATCCGGTTCAGCTGGCTGGAAGCAGGGGTTGGCAGGGGTGCGCTCCCCCTGGAGGCTCTGGGGAGAATCAATTTCCCCGCCCTTTTCAGTTTCTACTGGACGTCTGGGTTCCTTGGCTTAGGGCCCCTTTCTCCTTCAAAGTGCATCACTCCAATCTCTGCTTCTACCATTACTCCCTTCTCCTCCCTGTTGTCAAATCTCCCTCTCCCACCTTCTTATAAGGCCCTTTGTGATTACAGATAGGCAGGGTCCACCTAGAGAATCCAGAATAATGCCCCAGCTCAAAAAACCCTCACTTAAGCACCGGTTTCAAGGACATGGGCAAGGGTCCCCAGGGTGGGGGTGGGGAATGCATTGCTCAGCTTGGTTACCACCGAGGACTTCTGACCAGCTCTGTTCCTGGAGGAGTTTCCCTGTCACTCATCCACTGACACTCACTGTTAGGAGCATGGGGCCTGAGCCACCAGGAGAGACGGGGAAAAAAAGATGCTTTCGAGATCTCAAAATTGAGAAAGTCCATGTATTTTCCTGCAGTCAAGTCACAGGTTACCTTTCCCAGCATGCTGGGCACCAGCAACCCTCACAAGCATCACATCACTTCCCGCTCCTGGGCCATGGCCCTCACTGTGGTGAGAAACCCCCTTCTGTTTCACTTATCTCCAAGTCGTTCAATGTGCCCCAGCCCTGAGAAAAGGCAAGCTTCTGGCTTGTAACTTACCAAACCGCTTGTAGCCGAAGGACTGCACCTCCTCCTCCTCTGCAAAGTCGTCTGTGAAAGAGGAAGACACAGTATTACCACGAGACCGGGTCACACAGGACGCAACTGCACCGCTTCCATCTGAACCTGTGCAATCCTCGGTAGCACCCAGGGTATTAGCAAGAGACTTTCCACGGCTCCTGGGGCACAGCAAGCGCCTGTCTGCCAGTTCCCTCCTCCAGCGAGGACGACGCTCTTTCTCAGACTCTTTACGTGACTTCTTATGCAGATTTCAGCAACACGTGTGATGCCCGTGAGATACCTTTCCTACCCACTCAGCCACCCATTTTTTAAAGCTACTCATTTTTAATATCACGGTGTGTGTGTGTGCGTGCGTGTATGTGTGTCTGTGTGCGTGCGCACCGCTGTCTCCATGCATCTCCTGAGCAATGTGGTGCCTGCCATAGACCAATGATTTGATGCTTTTTGTCAAATGACAAAAAGTTGATTGATCAACTGCTCAAGAGGTCAAACTATCTTCATGTAACCGACCCTAAAACCCTCCACCCTCCCCTCTCTTTCTGTGTTCTGGGGTCATCTCTCCCACCAACTGTCTCATCTCAGCTATGCCAATACTCTTCCCCACTCTACTTCCACTGGACAACTTGGACCAACAGATGGTTTCCCAGAAAATGCATTTGAAAATAGGTACAACTGCTGAGCCAATTCTGAAATGTAGAGCCACCATGAAAACAAGAACAATGTTCTCTCAACCAAAAGGTCTACAAGTCCTTCCACCAAGTGCTCAGCTGCTGACTGAAAGGTCAGCAGTTCCAACCCACCAGCCTTTATCATTGCTATTTTGCTGAACAGGTTTCAGCAGAGCTCCCAGACTACCACGGACTAGGAAGAAAGCCCTAATTACCAACTTCCAAAATTCAACCAATCAAAACCCTCCTGGTTGCAACAGTCTGATCTGTAACTGATCAGAGACTGCACTGGATGGGGAAGCATTTCCTGCTGTTGTGCAGGGGTTGCACTCTAAGGTGAGCGCTGATTTCAGCACCCTACCAATAACAATGGCAGACAACCGAATCTCCTATTACACAACTCTGTTATGAGTGGGTCTGGGGAAAGGTGATCATTTCGAAGACACACGTTCATATTAATTGTGCAATTACAAGGCATGTTTGATGGAAAACATGAGGTGTCACAGCCAGGCCTTCCCAGGGGACCTGACTAACATCCTTGAGCTGGTCATATTGCTGTACCAGCATCTAACTTTCTCCCATATTGCTGTACCAGCATCTAACTTTCTCCCGCACGCCAAGTTCAAAACCATGTATGCAGCTCTCAACAGGGATCAGAGTAAAGTGGGGTGGGGCTTCAGTGCTGAGTAACACAGGTCCCTTTTTCCAAGAGGCTGAGAGGCTATAAACCGAGGAATACAGGAGGGGAATGTAGCCTTGAAGGTACTCATTTCTGAACCCCCATGAGACATATGACCTGGCGATCTCAGAATCTTGAAGGGTTATGGAAGATGCATGATATTAATAATTCAATGTGGTGAGTCTCAGAAAACTAGCTTGTTTTGAAGTACTGTAAAAAGACATGTGAAAGCAATTACACTATTTCTAACCCCCCAAAATGAAATGCGGTAGCTTTGTCCTTTGCCACTGTTTCCTGATTCTGAGGAAAGGGGAGAGGTCTTGGTGGGCAATCTAGGAGGCTGCAGTTTGTAATTCAAGCAGTCTGATGTCAAGGAATATATTTCAGTTCTTTCTACAAGGAAGAACATGCCTTACAACCAAGAAAATGCCACCTTTCTCCTTGACACAGTGATTTCTAAGTTCAATACCACCACTACTCCTTTTTCCGACGCCTCCCTGATCTGGCTCCGTTGTAACATTTAGTCTGACAGACTCTCCTCTCCCTCCACATAGTCCTTGGGGCTTCTGATGAGAAATCAAAATGAACATACTCAATCAAGCCTACGATGGCACCGACAAAACAGGCCTTTTAGATCACTCATGGTCAGGTCAAAGGAGTCCTGCTTCCTGTCTTCACAACCTTCAATCCAAAAGGGTTAATACTTATTGTAACAGCTCCTAAAAGAATAAAAAAATCCTCTGATCTCACTGAACTATAAAAGAAGTGAGAAAATCATATGAGACACAGAGTTCAAGTGAGGTAAAAAACTACAGGAAACTTCTGACTGGGATTATCACGGAAGGTCTCACAGAGAAAGCATATAAAAATCAACCTTCCCCAATATTTTTTTTCTTTGAGGGAAAGAAGCAGACTTGGAAAACACGAAATTCTTTGCATCTCTCTTAGAAATTCATAAATGGGTGGAAACTTAGGGAAGAGAAAGAGAAAGCCAGCATAATGTGTTAATCACTGTCTTCAACGTCGTTGATGCTTGTTAACCCAGGCACGGATTAATGTGGGATCCGGCTGATAACAGCAACTCACAAGTTTAGCTGAGAAGCTTAGGGGGTAGTGAGTTTAGGTGAACAGTGGTGGGGCAGCTTGGAAACGGACCGTGAGGATGGTTGCCTGGAAAACCACCATAGATGTCACCAAATTGGACATGCTGCTCAGTTAACAGCCAGTTGATTCAGGCTGGTGGTGGGTAAGCAGAAATAGAGTTAGGGAACCGAGGAAGCAGGTAAAATCTGATGGGGCTTGGGGTTGGGTGGACAACCCAGACTAGGCTACAAAGCCCTTAGGGAGGGGGAGTGGTCACGGACTCCTAATGACTGTACGCTGTGGAGGGCAAAAGGCTGTCATAGGGTCCACCCAAGCTAACAGAGGGGTTCTGATGAAGACAAGTTACCTGATAGCAAGTGCCGTGCTACATTCGGTTCTTAAACACTTTTCCCACACTCTGCAGACTTAAGCTAAACGTGTCTCACACATGGTCTTTATAGTGTCAGGGGCCTGCCTGCAAAGGTGATATACGCAAACAAGGGTATTCTTTCTAGACCAGTCTAAACATTTTATTAGGGGCTCATACAACTTTTATCACAATCCATACGCACATCAATTGTGTAAAGCGCATTTGTACTTCATTCTCAAAACATTTTCTCTCCACTTAAACCCCCGACATTAGGTCCTCATTTTCCCCCTCCCTCCCCGCTCCCCCCTCCCTCATGAGCCCTTGATAGTTTATAAATTGTTATTTTGTCATATCTTGCCCTGTCCGACGTCTCCCCTCTTTTCTGTTGTCCGTCCCCCAGGGAGGAGGTCACATATAGTCCCTTGTAATCGGTTCCCTCCTTCCTACCCACTCTCCCTCCACCCTCCCTGTTTCGCCACTCACACCACTGGTCCTGTAGGGCTCATCCGCCCTGGATTCCCTGTATTTTCAGTACCCATCTGCACCAGTGTACTTCCTCTGGTCTAGCCAGACTTGCAAGGTCGAATTCTAGTCATGGTAGTGGGAGCGGGAAGGAAAAATTTAGGAACTAGAGGAAAGTTGTATTTCTCATCGTTGTTACATCGCACCCTGACTGGCTCATCTCCTCCCTGAGATTCCTCTGCAAGGGGATCTCCAGTGGCCTACTAATGGGCTTTGGGTCTCCACTCGGCACTCCCCCCATCATTCACTATGGTAAGATTTTTTGTTCTGATGATGCCTTATACCTGATCTCTTCGACAACTCGTGGTTGCATAGGCTGGTGTGCTTCTTCCATGTGGGCTTTGTTGCTTCTGAGCTTGATGGCTGCTTGATAACCTTCAAGCCTTTAAGACCCCAGACGCAATACTTTTTGATAGCCGGGCACCATAAGCTTTCTTCACCACATTTGCTTATGCACCCATTTGTCTTCAGTGATCCCTTCGACACCTCGTGATCACACAGGCTGATATGTTGTTCCATGTGGGCTTTGTTGCTTCTGAGCTAGATGGCCGCTTGTTTACCTTCAAGCTTTTAAGACCCCAGACGCTATATCTTTTGATAGGCAGACACCATCATCTTTCTTCACCACATTTGCTTATGCACCCGCTTTGTCTTCAGCGGTTGTGTCGGGAAGGTGAGCATCCTAGAATGCCAATTTAATAGAAGAAAGTATTCTTGTGTTGAGGGAGTACTTGAGTGGAGGCCCAATGTCCTTCTGCTACCTTAATACTAAACCTATAAATACAGGCTCATAGATCCATTTCCCCATCCTCATATAAATATATTTGCATATGTACATGTCTTTATCTAGACCTCTATAAATGCCCTTTTCCTCCCAGCTCTTTCCTCTATTTCCCTTGACTTTCCTCCAAATTGGTGGGGAGGTGAGTATGGGAGACCTGGTAGGGCATGATCAAGGGGAATGCAACAAACCGGAAGTGCTGAAATTCTGGTGGGGACTGAGCATGATAGTGGGACAGTAGGAAAGTCAAAGGAAATAGACCAGTCTCTTTAGCCACTTGTCATTTCAAATTCTGCCTGTCACAGGTAATGCCACATAACTGTGGACTGTTACGTGAGTGAGGAGTGAGTTAAGATTTAAGACCTTGGTTCTGCAGTGGCCACAACTTGATGCCTACCTCTGATAGCAGTTTGTCTGCAAGGAAGAAGCAAGCTTCTCATATTAAATAACAAAAAGCATTTCAATTAAGATTTATGTCTACAACCACATATTTTCTTGGGTTACACAACTATATTTCAGCATTTGCATTTCCATACTTATAGTCTACACTACATTCTGTGTTGTTATCTTCAAATGCTGAGTTTTATTTTATTTTTACTTTCCGTGGTAACTGGCACAGAACCACAAGGGCCAGAGAGAACACTGAAGTGCTACTAGATTTATTCTTTGAGCTTTGCTATTGCAGAGTAATATGAGTTCAAGGGAAGTAGAATTCAGCTGGCTTAAGGGAAGTTGAATTCAGCTGGCTTAAGAGAACAGAAAGAATTATGAAAATTTTCCAATTAATTTGTGGACTACTCTATGCAATATTCCTACGGCTTGGATTTTCCTCTCCATGCCCTGATCTTGATGCCAGCACTTCTTTCAGTTTACTGTATACTCCAGTTGTAGGGGAGAGAGAGAAAAGACTGAAGCTGTCAACGATTT